TGTGTTTGATTTCTGAGTCATCAAAAAGACTTCTTTGCCTCCTAAAATATCTCCTTCATCCAGGCTGTGGGTACTTTTAATTCCACGATTGGAGGCTGGTTTCCCTCTGTTAAAATGCAAATACCCTTTGGGGAGAGGATATCCATTTACTTTCATCAGTCTACTGCACCTTAATATGAGGATTTTCTCAGCCCTTTCTCATGGCAGATTTTTGAGAAAAGCACATGGAGGGAAAGGGGACACAGGAAATGAATACTGGACATGGCAAAGGTAAACTTTGTCAAAGTTAGCAGTTTGGATGAACCGCCTGGCTCTCTAGCCCCTTTTGCCTGGTCAGATCCATTATTATGTATTGGCAGGTGTATGTTGGGCCAGAAATGATTATTTCTGTTGGGGGTTTTATGGTTACAAAACTTTTTTTTTTTTTTAAGGGCTTCCCAGGTGGTGCTAGTGGTAAAGAATAATCCCTATGTCGGGAAGATTCCCTGGAGAAGGGAATGGCTACCCACTCCTCCTCTCCCATGGACAGAGGAGCCTAGCCAGGCTACAGTCCACGAGGTTGCAGAGTTGGACATGACCGAGCAACTAAAACTTTCAGTTTCACTTTTTTTTCACCGAAACCTCAATGAAATAATTTGTGTGGTAACCTGTTTGGTTTTTATTGCCAAGGCTAAGCTCCATATGGTTTGTGTGTTCATTTGCCAGAGAAGGCTAATGATAGCTGCTGTCACAAATACCCCCAGAGTTTCAGTGGCTTATATAAGAGGTTGCTTTTTTCACTGACATCATGATAGGATTCAAGCTAATTTGGGGGATGCTATATTCCACATAACCTCCAAGGGACTCAGCCCCCTTCCATGCTGTATGTCTACCATCTTCAGTTACTGTTCAGTTGCTAAGTTGTGTCCAACTCTTTGCAACCCCATGAAATGCAGCATGCTTCCCTGTCCTTCACTATCTCCTGGAGTTTGCTCAAACTCATGTCTACTGTGTCTGATGCCATCCAGCCATCTCATCTCTATTACCCCCTTCTCCTCCAGCCCTCAGTCTTTCCCAGCATTAGGATCTTTTCCAATGAATCAGCTCCTTGCATCAGGTAGCTAAAGTATTGGCGCTTCAGCTTCAGTCTTTCCAACAAATATTCAGGACTGATTTCCTTTAGGATTGACTTCTTTGGTCTCCTTGAAGTCCAGGGGACTCTCAAGAGTCTTCTCCAGCACCACAATTTGAAAGCATCAAGTCTCTGGCATTCAGTCTACTTAATGGTCCAACTCTCACTTTTGTACATGACCACTGGAAAAACCATAGCTTTGACTAGATGGACATTTGTCAGCAAAGTGATGTCTCTGCTTTTTAATACGCTGTCTAGGTTGATCATAGCTTTTCTTCCAAGGAGCAAGCGTCTTTTAATTTCATGGCTGCAGTCACCATCCACAGTGATTTTAGAGCCCAAGAAAATAAAATCTGTCACTGTTTCCACTTTTTACCTATCTGTTTATCATGAAGTGATAGGACCAGATACCAGATATCTTAGGTTTTTGAGCACCTGACCTCAAAGAAGGCATGCCCTGGGGAAGAGAGAACTTGTAGAGAAAGTATTCTTACATTTAGCTCTTTGACATGGAAGTGACACTTTTTGTTTTCATTTATTTTTATTAGTTGGAGGCTAATTACTTTACAGTATTGTAGTGGGTTTTGTCATACATTGACATGAATCAGCCATGGAGTTACATGTATTCCCCATCCCGGTCCCCCCTCCCACCTCCTTCTCTACCCGATCCCTCTGGGTCTTCCCAGTGCACCAGGCCCGAGCACTTGTCTCATTCATCCAACCTGGGCTGGTGATCTGTTTCACCCTAGATAATATACATGTTTCGATGCTGTTCTCTCTAAACATCCCACCCTCGCCTTCTCCCACAGAGTCCAAAAGTCTGTTCTGTACATCTGTGTCTCTTTTTCTGTTTTGCATATAGGGTTATCATTACCATCTTTCCAAATTCCATATATATGTGTTAGTATGCTGTAATGTTCTTTATCTTTCTGGCTTACTTCACTCTGTATAATGGGCTCCAGTTTCATCCATCTCATTAGAACTGATTCAAATGAATTCTTTTTAATGGCTGAGTAATATTCCATGGTGTATATGTACCACAGCTTCCTTATCCATTTGTCTGCTGATGGGCATCTAGGTTGCTTCCATGTCCTGGCTATTATAAACAGTGCTGCGATGAACATTGGGGTACACGTGTCTCTTTCAGATCTGGTTTCCTCAGTGTGTATGCCCAGAAGTGGGATTGCTGGGTCATATGGCAGTTCTATTTCCAGCTTTTTAAGAAATCTCCACACTGTTCTCCATAGTGGCTGTACTAGTTTGCATTCCCACCAACAGTGTAAGAGGGTTCCCTTTTCTCCACACCCTCTCCAGCATTTATTGCTTGTAGACTTTTGGATAGCAGCCATCCTGACTGGAGTGTAATGGTACCTCATTGTGGTTTTGATTTGCATTTCTCTGGTAATAAGTGATGTTGAGCATCTTTTCATGTGTTTGTTAGCCATCTGTATGTCTTCTTTGGAGAAGTGTCTGTTTAGTTCTTTGGCCCATTTTTTGATTGGGTCATTTACTTTTCTGGAATTGAGCTGCAGGAGTTGCTTGTATATTTTTGAGATTAATCCTTTGTTGCTTCATTTGCTATTATTTTCTCCCAATCTGAGGGCTGTCTTTTCACCTTGCTTATAGTTTCCTTTGCTGTGCAAAAGCTTTTAAGTTTCATTAGGTCCCATTTGTTTATTTTTGCTTTTATTTCCAATATTCTGGGAGGTGGGTCATAGAGGATCCTGTTGTGATTTATGTCAGAGAGTGTTTTGCCTAGAACTCCTAGTGTTCTCCTCTAGGAGTTTTATAGTTTCTGGTTTTACATTTAGATCTTTAATCAATTTTGAGTTTATTTTTGTGTATGGTGTTAGAAAGTGTTCTAGTTTCATTCTTTTACAAGTGGTTGACCAGTTCTCCCAGCACCACTTGTTAAAGAGGTTGTCTTTTTTCCGTTGTATATCCTTGCCTCCTTTGTCGAAGATAAGGTGTCCATAGGTTCGTGGATTTATCTCTGGCCTTTCTATTCTGTTCCATTGCTCTATATTTCTGTCTTTGTGCCAGTACCATACTGTCTTGATGACTGTGGCTTTGTAGTAGAGTCTGAAGTCAGGCAGGTTGATTCCTCCAGTCCCATTCTTCTTTCTCAAGATTACTTTGGCTATTTGAGGTTTTTTCTATTTCCATACAAATTGTGAAATTATTTGTTCTAGTTCTGTGAAAAATACTGTTGGTAGCTTAATAGGGATTGCATTGTATCTATAGATTGCTTTGGGAAGTATAGCCATTTTGACAATATTGATTCTTCCAATCAATGAACATGGTATGTTTCTCCATCTGTTTGTGGGAAGTGACACTTCTTATACCTCGAATTCCATTGGCCGGACCTGGTTCCAGAGACCTACCCAGATGGAAAGAGGCTAGGAAATGTGGTGAGCTGTGTGTCCAGGAGGTGGAAACTTGTATGTGTTTTCCTTCTGTCTGTGACATAACCTGATCCTTCAGTGTTGTTGTTAAGGGTATGGAGGACCAAAGAGGAAACAATGACCTGGAAACTGTCCAGTGCTTAGAGTAGTGACAAGTCATTCACTCTGTTCGGTGAAGGGCATCATTCTGCTGTTAGATTTTTGCTGTGTAAGGGAGACCGAAGTCTTCATTCAAAGAAATGTCTTTATGCTGTTTATTTGCTTTTTAATAGAATTTGGAAAATTTTAATGGAAATCTCCTTTCCCTGCACCTTGGAATCACTTTGGAAAGGGCGTTTTGAGATTTGAATGGTATAGCTTCTGTAATGTGTTTCAGCTCCCTTAGGAGATACGAAAGAGTATGTTAGCCTGTGCAGAAGGTGTAGAACTCCTCCTGTCCACCTCCCGCGTTGTCTAGATGGGGGAACTGAGAGGTAACTGCATGGTCCAAATTTACGCAGCAAGTTAGTGACCTACCTGGGTGGTAGACCCCATTTTAAAGATTTCTACACTGGTGTTCCTGCCCTACCACAGTGCCGTTCCCTAGAGAACTGTTTGGAGAATAGCCCTGTCCCGGTGGGATTTGAAGGAGGAGGCTGTAAGCAGGTGAAATCAGAAGGCTCCTTCTGGTTTTGAGATTCCTTGATTGATTGAGGTTAAGTATATTTTGTCTGGCCGTATCCTTGACCTGACCAAAGTGTTGTAACCTTCCAAGAGTTTGTAACTTTTGGGAAAAAGGAAATCTCAGATCTTTATTCTTTTCAATTGTTCCTTTATTTTTATCTTAAAAAATTATATGTTCTTTAAATATATTTTTGTAATTGTAAAGGTAACAATTTTTAATTATAGAAGTTAAGGCAATATATGCAAGTGTAACAAAAATATATACAAAATGTAATAAAAATTGCCTGTAATTCTATAACTTGACAGTGTAGCAATTATCCCTATTAATGTTTTCTGTCTTTCCATGTGTGTTTCCTGACCATTTTTCAATATGAAATAAATATGCAACTCTAAAAATATTTCATATTACTTAATATGAAATATTACACAACCCTTAATATTGCTTTAAAATGAATAGTATGGAAAATGCTCATATTTGTATACATACATACAATATAATTAGAATGAAATTCAAATTTTATTTTGTTTTATATTCTTTTTATTTTAGCCTTTTATTTGCTTTTTAAAGGATGTAGGAAAAAGCTAATGGAAATCCTCCTTCTGTATATGTTGGAATAAAATTTTTATTACATTGTATCTAAGCATACAAGTATATATGGGCATTTCTCTATATCATGACTTATTTTGAAGCATTGTTTTAAGGGTTGCATACTACTGCATTCCATGGGGTACATTGCTGAAGGAAGCCTCTTGGGAGGTGGCGGGACAGAGTTGGTGCTCTCTCTATTCTCGGCCCTGACCCTGTGCCCCTCTTCCCCCAGGGCATCAGCAGCCTGTTCAGCTCTCTGAAAGTTGTCAGGCTGCTCCGTCTGGGACGAGTGGCCCGGAAGCTGGACCACTACATTGAGTATGGAGCCGCCGTGCTGGTCCTGCTGGTGTGTGTGTTCGGGCTGGCCGCCCACTGGATGGCCTGCATTTGGTATAGCATCGGGGACTATGAGATCTTCGACGAGGACACCAAGACCATCCGCAACAACAGCTGGCTCTACCAGCTGGCCATGGACATTGGTACCCCTTACCAGTTTAACGGGTCCGGCTCAGGGAAGTGGGAAGGGGGTCCCAGCAAGAATTCCGTCTACATCTCCTCGTTGTATTTCACCATGACCAGCCTCACCAGCGTGGGCTTTGGGAACATCGCCCCGTCCACAGACATCGAGAAGATCTTTGCCGTGGCCATCATGATGATTGGCTGTAAGTATCGCAGTGACTGGGCAAGGGGTGGGGACATTAAGTTTGTCCGTCCTTTCAGTTAGCCGGAAATAGGGCAGTAGCTACAGTGCCAGTGGGATTGGGGTGTTACGGCTTAAAATAAGGGAGGGTTTTTGTTGTTGTTTTTTTTAAAGACTAGCTTTATAGCTTTCCTATTAATTTAAACATAAATATATTTACTGCACAGAAATTCAGAAAATAACAAAATAGCACAAAGTAGAAACTAATGACTAACCATACATAATTCTATTTCTTAAAATTGCTGTTAACTTTTGGTGTTTCCCTTAGAGATTTTTGTCTATCCATATCTGAACACACGGATAACACATTTTAATAGTTAAAATGAGATCATACTATACATTTTGGTATACTTCTTGTTCACAGAACAGTGAATTGTAGAAGTTTTTCCATGGCAATTTAAAAATAACTCTAGATTGCACAGTTCAGTGTGGTACTAGAGAAAGAATGCTTGAAAACAAAATCTGAAGTATCTTATTAATAACCTTTGGTATTGAGTATATCTAGAAATAGTAATGGTTTTGCTAGAGTGGATTAAGTAAAATATTCTAGTACAATAGTTTCATATATATTTTTACTTTTTAATGTGAATCCTAGGAAAATTTTAAATCTTATTTATACAGAATAGTGCTGATCTAGATCAACATTTTTGATGTCTACTTGGTGATTGAGAGATTTTTCTAAATCCAAAAGAAAAAAACCTACAGGAAGAAAACAGCTCTTGTTCAGTTGAGAAGTAATGGGGTTTTGGATTAACTTCACTGGACTGAAAAACAGAAACAGCCCTGTTTCTTGAGGAAAGTACACTCAGTCCTCTGTATCCATGGATTTTGCATCCTTGCCTTCAACCAACCATGGATTGAAAATATTAAAAGAGAAAATTCATGAACCTTAAATTTGCCACACGCGGGCAATTATTTACATAGCATTTACATTGTACTTGGTACTGTAAGTATCTAGGGATCACTTAAAGTATATGGGAGGCTGTGTGCAGGTTATATACCAATACTATGCCATTTTACATGAGGGACTTAAAAATCTGTTGGTTTTCGTATCTTCTAATGAATTGGTCCTGGAACCAATTCCCTTTGGACAGAGGGGTGAAAATGAGAGTCACTCAGTTGTGTCCAACTCTTCGTGACCCCATGGACTACATAGTCTATGGGATTCTCCAGGCCCAAATACTGGAGTGGGTAGCCATTCCCTTCTCCAGGGGATCTTCTCCACCCAGGAATTGAACCAGCGTCTCCTGCTTTGCAGGCAGATTCTTTACCAACTGAGCTACTAGGGAAGCCCTTAATTTTTAAACACTTAACCATTGACCATTTTGTAGCTGTTGCCAGTATTACCAAGTCTGGAAACGGCCTTGGGTTATAAACAACAATGAACTCCCCTCACTAAAGGGAGTCTTAGGGAAGATTAGGCCTAACTGGGCTGGGGAAAGCACATGAACTTGAGTGGATCAGACTCATTGTGAACCTGCCAAATGCACCCTATTGGTGCTTCCATGACACATTGTGGTGTGAGAGAGGACAGACCTCCGGTGGAGCATGGGCTTGGATGGTAGTCTGGTCACAGGTGATGAAGCTGGGCCCTAGTTCCAGCTGGCAGAAACCCTTCTGCTTGATGTGCTTCTTCAGGGTGGAATTGACATCTTGTTACACCAACCAGGGGATTCTAAGACCAGGGAAACTGAGGCTTCAGTTTGTCTGGCTTTGTCCAGCCCATCCGTGATCCAGGGACCCCTTGGCAAGTGGATTTTGTTACCCCTTTTGTCCCATTTGCAGCTTGCCTCCTTTTTATTTGCCATCATCTCATCATGTCTGATGTACTCCTTTCCTAAAAGCCCCTCTGCCATACCCAGAGCCCGGCTCTGTCTGCTTGTTGAATGCGTCTAAGGCTTAACTGGTTTGTGGGAAGTGTGTGCCAGGGAACTTTTGGGTCCGCTCTTTTTTTTAAATGGGTTTTAATAGAGATGATTGCCTGACCATGGGGAGCAACATTAAGTATCTGTGGGTGGCTAATTGCTTTAGCTTGATTAGAACTTGAGGTGCTTTCTCATGTCTTATAAAAGGATTTAAGATCTTTGCTCTTCTAGTACTATTTCAGCCTTAACATCTCTTAGTTTTCTAGGCAGTGCTTGCAGCATTTTGTGAACCTTGGGGCACCAGTAAACAACCAGATGCACCGTGCTCCAGGCACAATTTCTGTCTCTTAAAGGGAAGATGAGATGCTCTGTCAATCGAAATACTTCATTATATGCATTACAGAAAATTTGCTGAGAGTGGTCAGTTAGAAAATAGGCTCCATTTCATGAGCTCCCTGAAGGCTTTCAAATATGAGGAGACTTCCTTGCAACTTTTTACCTGGAAGAAAAGGTAAGAAAACAGCTCTGGTGGCATATAAGGATAAACTGTTTTTCCAAAGTCATTCTTCTCCAGAGACAATAATTTCCTGGGTATAGTCTCTAAGGAAAACCCAAACAATTATCATCACCTCTTTTTTCTCCCCACCTTTTCAAAGCTTTGTAGTGTTTCCATTTCTTTTTTCTTAAGTGTAATACACAGGCAGTCACCTCTGCAATATGCCCCAAGTATGATATTTAGGTAGGCAAGTCTGCTTAATTTTGTTTCCTGATCACTTCCTGTTTGCCAGGTGCTGTGCTAAATATTCTATGTGCAAATCTCTTGTTTGCAACAACTCTATGCCGTAGAGATTAAGTACATCTTACAAGGAATTGGAAGCTTGGAGAAGTTAAGTCCTTTGCCAAGAATGCATGGCTAGTACCTAGGAAAGACAGGATTTGTGTCTGGGACTCTGAATTAAAAGCCCAGCTCTTCCCACTGTGCCCGCTTGCGATGGCGTGGACTGAGAACACAGACCTCATCAGCCTGTCCTCTCTGGCACACCACTCACACTTTGAAAATTCTCTCCATAAATTTGAACAAGCCAGAGGTTTCTACAGTAGGAAGCTTTTGTGCACTTGCCTGTTGTTTTAATTTAAGAACAAGTTTACGGTAGAAACTCGGGGGACCAGGTGCTTCAGACACCAAGCATTTTTTTCAGCAACCTGTCACTTACAGTTACAGCTGTTCCCCTTTCCGTGTGACATGTCTGACAAATTCTTGTGCTAACAACAAAGTTATTGCCCTCTGTGTAATGCGCTGGTAATTATCCTTGTAAACTCACATTCCAGACAACCTTTGTTCAGGAGAGCTGCTGAGGTCTTAGTCGATTTACGGGACTCTCTTTTATCTTGCTTTGCCTGTGTGCATGTGTCTGCACGTGCGTCCTTACTGCATGGCTCCCGGGATTGGATGACCCCAGAACTGGGATCTCGGGTAACAGGAAGCACTCACCACACCCTGCATTTATGCTCCAGGGTCAGTGCCTCCCTCCCCAGCCCGCCTCAAATCAGACTAGCATTCTTCAGGGGGAGTAGAGGGAAATAAAGCCAATGAGCTTTGAAGTACTAGTAACATTGTGATTTTCTCCTTTTTGCTTTGAGTTTTATATGCATCCCTAATAGTATTTCTTGGTTATTCTGTTGCCACGTATTAACCATAATATAGATTATCCAGAAGCCTTCCATTGCTTCTCCTCTTTGTTCTCTGTCACTGAATATCTTATTGTAACTTAGCTAATTCCCCAGAGGCTGCCAGGAAGCAGGAAAACAAAGTATTTTCAAGTTTGCTCACATTTCTCATTCTGGTTTTTAAAAATTGCAATAGAAAAGGAGAAGACTTGGCTAAAGTGAACACTTGTGATCATCTCTGGATGTTGGTGAAGTAGTGTGTCCACCTTCCTGGTTTTATGTCTAACTTGCACGTCTTGACCTGGGGTGGGGGCAAGCCAGCCCTGCCCTGATCCCCTTGCCTTCCTGAATAGGTCTTCAGTGGTCTCCTGCAAGGCTCACCCTGTGGGGTGATGGGTGGACCCCATCTTTTGCGTGTGTGGTTCACCTGTGTGCTGATGCTGAGAGAAGCACAAGGCCCCTCTGGCCCTCGGGGCGACATTTGGGAGAGGTGACCTCATTTAGCAGCCACATACCGAGTGCCTCCCTTGACAGAGCTCTGGGGATGGGGAGGGTCTCTGCAGGTGGCGCTCCCGGGAGTCCGAGGTCTGGGGGGGTCGGGTGCTGGGGGTTGTGGCCCTGTAGCCCACCATCCAGTGAGTAGGGCCTGGAGACAGAGCTTTCACTGTGGGCTGAGTCCTCCTGGGGCTTCTGAGGGACCCCTCAGGGGGATTGTCAGGGATGAGGGGAGAGCCCCTCTGTCTTGGGGTCTCAGTCTCGGTTAGGGGCATGACTGTGTCTGGGCGAAACTCTTCCAGGGAGAATTTGATGGTGAAGCGACAGTTCTCATTTTCTTAACAGGGGCTTCGCACTTTTCTGATTCTCTCATAATGTCATTGCTGTCATCCTGTCATTGTAATTAAGCCACATTCATTTCCTTTCTCTCTGATAATGGCAGGGGGTCTAGACATCATGCTCCTACTCCAGACGGTCTCCACCCCTCCCAAGCCCAGCCCTGGTGTTCTGTCTCTGCATATTTCCCCCCTGTCCTCCTCCACCTCAGCTCCTTAGATCCAGAGCAGAATCTGAGTGCTGACGGGGGACGTTCGCGAGCATCTGTTGAGTCCACAGCAGCGCTTCCTAGTTCTGCTGGGCCGGATCTCATCCTGTTCAGGGCTTTAGTCAACCTCTGCCCACTCCCTCCCCTGGGTGGGGGCTGAGAACTCCAAGAGAGTTATTGGACTCAACCATAGTGTTTCCGTACATCACCTTCCTTCTTGGCAGGAAGGGACACTAGCAACCTGTACCCTTCACAGTTTGACCCGACTACCACCACCAGGCGGTATGCTTTATGGCCCCTTTTCAGCTTAGATTGTTATTTGCAAGCAAATAGGGACTTTACCCTGGCTCCTTCAGGATTTTATTTAAGCATTCTTATTTCTTTTCATTC